GGTTTAGGGTTTAGGGTTCAACTTTCTGAGCTTGTCCGGACCTTCCTGGTCCGTAGGTCCAGGGTCCATGTTAGAGCAAACTCCCATGTAGGTTTCCTCTAAGCCTGGAGCCCTGAACGAAAGTATAAGCCTTGAAACGCGAACTTGCAGGCCCAAGCCCTGAAGCAAAGTATGGACCCCTCAAACTCTAAACCCACCAAGTGCAAGAGCCCCTTTAAATTCTAAAGCCCCGAAGCCTGAGCCGAGCCACAGAAGGAGCGCGTTGCGGGCTTCCTCNNTCCTCCCTCTCCTGGCTGAGCAGGGTCGCAGCTGAACAGAGAACAGCATTTTGGGGTTTTGCGAATCATATAGAGGCTTGATTGGATAGAAATGTTAGGATTTAATCAAGCGTTCAAATAAAGGGGCTTGACAGTCAGTTATATTATTGCACTAGAGTTCCCCATTACTCTTACAATTGGTGTCCAAAGTCCTGCATCAGGCTTTGATCAAGTAATGTGCATGTTTGTCTCGGTCGCAACCTTTTTAACTTGTCACATTACATAAATTCTGTAGACCCAACTTTTCCCGAGGCAAAATGCACCCGAGCGAGTGGCGGGGCAGACGCTATGCCTGTAGGGGGAGCAAGCAAATCTACACAATCACAGTCAAGTTTCTATGCAGGGGCCGACCGAGGTGTAAGCGCCATCGGGCCATAGGGGGCTTTCAAGCTTTCCTTCCCGGCCACCGACTTCGTCGCCCCACCCAAAACCCCACACCCCCAAACTCTAAACGCTGAACCGACCCTTCAAGCACTCAGGCAAGCACCCGGAGCTGTGGGAGGCTGTGAGAGCCGAGCTGGGCTGACACAGGCACTTACAAGGGGTGTTCATTTACCGTTATTAGGGCTCCAAGGTTCGTTTAGAGCTTGATTGGGGTCTCAGGCGTTCTATAAAGATTCTATAGGAGCTTCATAGGATTTCGGCGTTCTACAATAAGAGCTTTGTGGGGTTTTCGTGCATGGGGTCTTAGGATTAGGACTTCACTGTATCACGTTTTCATCGGAGGTTTGGTCGGGATTGGTCGGGGCTTCGACGCGATGTCACGACCAAAGGTCTCTGTCAAGGCCAGCAGGTCCTTGAGATTCAAGCCCTAACCCCGAAACCCCAAA